GGATTCCATTTGTTTCCTATGTTGGGATTCCATCATGTTCCTCAGCTCCTCTCTAGATTTATTAATCATGTCTTGCACTATGGGCACAATCTCTACTGTAATCTGAGAAATTATTTCTGATTTCATTTTTTCCAGATCCTCTTTTCTTGCCAGTTCAGGGAGTCCTGGTGGTTGAGTATCAGAGTGTTCCATCTCCTTTCCCTTTGGGGTTGCTGTAGGTGATCTGCAAGTCTGGTTTTGAGATTTCTTTAAGTGTCTTCTCATTTAGACCCCCTGTGTGGGGACGCTGTTGGCGCCCATGAGGCTCCCCCCCTCTGAGCTGGGAGTGGTGGGACAGTGGCCCAGAAGCCCCTTCCTCTGGGGCGGGAGCAGTGAGAAGGTCAGCAGCCCGGAAGCCCCTACCTCTGGGCCAGGAACGGCGGGACGGACAGTGGCTCAGAAGCCTCTTCCTCTGGGCTGGAAGTGTTCGGACAGCTGGTGGCCACTCATGCTGATTCTTGCCAATCCTGAAATTTGCAATGGTGTTAAAATTCAGGATCTGGATTAGCATGAAAAAATTACACCTCTTTTCTGGAATCAGAGCCAAAGGGTAATGAAGACTCATTAAAAATTGTATTATCTTGTATCATTCTTTTCATATTTCTCTAAAAGTTAATAGAAAATATAATAAAGACCAGTGGTAGAGTAATTATTCACAGAATCTTATTGTTCCTCAAATAAAACATTGAATCAATAAACTTACAGTTTTTTAAGAAGTTAGTAAAATAATTTGGATATGTTAAGCAAAAGTAATGGGCTACTGAGGAAATTTTGCTTTGTGATTCTTAGTAATTGATCTTATGTCTTTGTTTCTGGATTGTTATCCCAGAAATGAGCTCTTTGTCTATACCTCAGAGTCTACTTTCTTAAAACTATAAAAAGTCTGAAATTGTCACAACATGAAATAAATAATTTCAGATTTGTTTTTAATACAGTGCCATAAAAATTAAAAATATTGTTGCAGCAAATGTACTAAGTCTAATTGCATTAGGATTTGTTTTCCTTCTTTTCACTCACATAAGAAAATATTATTTTCACCACTTAAAGTAACTTCATTCTTATTCTATAAAATTTCCTCTACTATGTAAGTCACCCAAATATACCAAAAAAGTGGGCTCACAACAATATTAAAGACATCAAGGTACGAATAATATCACAGCTTCTTTCAAAGAAAAAAATGCTACATTTTCTTGATTTTGATGCTCTGTCAAGAGGCCAGTCCATTTCTGCTCTTGAAGAGCTGATGAAGTCCACAGCCCAGAGCAATTGTCTTGGTTTCACATTTGGGCCATATTTCCCTGCCCTGCTGCCTGGCAGCAGATGCCACACAGCTGGGACAGACCTGTGCCCCGGAGCTCAGGACAGCATTCAGATGAGCAGGTCCACAGGGTGCAGAGAGAGAGGAGACCCCACCAGCCCTGCTGCTGTCACCTGCCTGGTCCTTGGCGGCCCTGCCGGCAGCTGCTCCCTTTGCAAAGTGAGTAACCCTCCCGTTCTCTTCTACCCGAGGGTCCCTGCGGCGTGACTCCTCATCAGGAAGACCTCAGAACCACGCAGCACTTTGTCCGGGAAGCCTGCGTGTATTGGGGTTAGCGCCTTCTCTGGGGGTCTTGAGGCCATTGCAGAAGACAGCAGTGTCACATCTTCATTCCTCATGGAACTGCTGCATGGCCTGTGGGTTTTTATTGGTGCTGCTTATTTTTTGATTTGAGTTGTGTTTATTTTTTGTCATCATGTCTTAATAACCATCTTATAGGTTTAACCCAGAAACACGGGCTGTGTGTCCTCGTGCTGTGACTGTGTCCATCCCTTCCAGGTTCCATTCGCATGGCCACCTCCACCATCAGGATGCGGTGCAGCCCCTTCCCCTTCTCTCATACTGTCCCAGTGTCCTCTCCCTGCCTGCCCTCTGCCCTGGGCCTCTCCCTGCTCGCCTGAGCTCCCGCACACAGGTCAGGGAGTGGAGCTCACAGCAGGGACCTGGAGACCAGCCTCGCTCACACAGCACAGCGCCTCTCTGCTGCAGCCCTGTTCCCTGGGTCACCGCGCATAGTCCTCCCAGAGCCAGCGCAACTGTCCGTGTCCACTGTGGACTCCTGTGTGCTGTTTTTGCGTGTGAGAAATGTGAAGGAGGCTGCTGGGAGTGTTTATGCTCAGCTTTGTGTATGGACCTGTTATTTCTCTTTCCCGGAACCTGAGATAAGGGAGTGTTGATAGGAAATGGCGAACTTTTCTCAATAAGCACTGGATGAGTCTTCTTTTTAGCACTGCATGATATTAGTATTTGCTCCAATCCCCACCAGCATGTGAAATTTGTTATCAATTTCCCTTTTCTGTTTTTGGCCTCATGATTGTGCAATGTTTTCCCATAAGGTTATGCTGGAGATTCCTAAGGACTGACAGTGTGAAAATCTTATAAACATTAAATGAATCATTTTTTATTTCAGTTCAGAAAAACAGTCCCAGAACTGAGAAGAGTTCAGTGCCTGTGCTTTCAGTTTTCTGGAAAAGTTGACCATGTTTCCATGTGCATGTTGCTCGTGCGCACATCTTCCTCAGAAGGATGTGCCTTTAAATCAAATGCCTAGTTTTGGACGATGCAGGGTGGTGAACCTAGAGCCTCATACCTGCTCCTCCAGTGCCCTACCACTGAGCTAAACCCAGCCTTTGCTCTGTTTATAAAGATTGTGTACTGGGCTTGGGATTCAGCGCAGTGGTTCTGGCGGCTGCAGCGTAAGCACAAGGTACCAAGTTCAATTCCCAGTACCAAAAAAAAAAAAAGATTGTGTACTTGCTTCTCTAGTCACTGTTGCTGTTCAGTGGGAAGTTATTTAGATACTGTCGATGTTTATGCCTATAATTTATAAAAATACTTCTCCAAGTCCATGGAGTGTCCTTTCCCTCTATTGAAAGTGTTCCTTGGGGAGTTTATTTTTTAAATTGACAAAGTATTATGTATCTATTTTTATACCTGTGCTTTTGGTGTCTTACCCATTAGGTTTTTGCTAAAATCTATGTAATAAAGGTTTTATATGAAGACTGTATTTCTCTAAAGAGTTACATATCTTTCATTACTACATTCAAGGCTTTAACCCACATTCAGAAAAGTGAATATGTATATTTTTGAATGGTTGAAATTGAATGGTTTCATGTTAATACCAGGTTTGTGTAGCATATTTATTGAAAACATAATTTTCCCATTGAATAGTTTAGCAGAATTGTGGGAAATGATACAATCATTTACATGATTCTTTCTTCTGGGCTCCACGTTCTGTGCAATTGGTCCCTGTATCTTTTTGTCACTCCCTCACTCTTCACTACTGTCACTTCACAGGTGATTTTAAATTCAGAAACTCTAAATTGTCCCATGCCGGGCACTCTAAAGGTTGCTTTCATGCTTGGGGTCCCTGCCTTTGCCCCTGTCCCGGAACATGACCCGGTGCACTCAGAGTGCTGGGTTCATCTCTTCACCAAAGCACAGGACACTTTGGGCTGTGAAGGGGTTGAGGCCCTTTATGTGGTGTGGGGTGCAGCTGCATCACAGAGGGTTTCTATGGGGAAGAAGACAGCAGAGTTGGCCATGTCCGTGTCCATTTGTGTCACATTCATTGCTCAGGAGCCCAGATAGGCAGTCACACAGCTGTGTGTTGGCGAGACTGAGGGGCTGAGGCCCCAGTCCCAGGGATCCCTCTGCCTCTGAGGACTCTCTGACCCCACCTGACCCAATGCAGACAGAAGCCCAGGTGGGTGCCTCACTCTGCTCTGAGCAGTCCTGAGCCAGTGCTCACAGCTCCCAAGGTGGCAGCTGAGGAGCCGGAGCCAGGCAATGGTGCTGTGCAGGGGCCTGGGGCTGAGGGACTCACGCCTGCCCCACAGACCCCACACTGACTTGGCCTGGGCCCTGGTGCTCAGGGCTTAGTTCATCCTAAGGGAAGAGAGAAGGGTGTGGGACCTAATAAATAGGTAACAGTGTGTGAGAGTGTGAGTGAATGTGTATGGATGTGTGTTTGTGTTTACAGCTGTGTAAAATCTCTGTCTTCAGTCTACCTACATTGTTCACTAAATCACGTGTCCTTAAATGATCAGCATCTATGCTGAAAGTGACACTTCTCATAGATTCCCAAATTTTACTCATAGTAGCCCCAAATAAAGGACATAGACCCTGATTCAGCAGAGGGAAAAGGGAACATTTAACTGTATTTCATATTTCCTCTCTCTTTAGCTGCATCTCAGACTGTAGAAGTTCCACTATCCATGCTAGGACTCAGGTAAACTCTTACCTGTCTCAGACACAGCCTCAGTGCATGAGCAGAGTCTTTGATGTGAGATTTTCACTTGAGAAGGGGTTAGTGGGTGAATCAAGGGGGCACATCCACCCAAGATCCATGGATGCCACAGGGCCAAGGTCACTGAGTGTCCTTCTGGCCCTGCTGTGGCACCCAGGGGGGCACCAGTGGCCTCTTTACAGGACAGGTCTCAGGCACATACTGGGCAGGGAGATCCTGCCATCCTTCCTTCTATTGCTGTCACTGCAGTGCTGGGGATGGAACCCAGGACCTTGTGCCAGTTAGGAAAGTGCTCTGCACTGTGCTGCATGGCTGCCCTCTATATTACCATTTTTATTATTTCTAAATTTTGACACAAGATCTTCTTAAGTTGTGCAAACTGGCTCAGCTCTTACAATCCTCATCCTTCAGCCACCTGTGTCTCTGGAAAGAGGCATGTGCCCCCGAGCCTGGCCATCATTTGCTGTCAATATTATACTTTCTGTTACAGTAGATGAGTTTATTTATGTGATTTCAGCCAAGATGCACAGTGATTCTGTTCCTGACTCCATTTTGATTCAGTTGTAACTTGGTAGGAGACAGAGATGCTCTGTGCAGTATTTGGCCATTAACCTTATACAGTAAATGTCTTGTTTTCCCTGCAAATGGGTTAATGCTGAGATGTGAGGGAAATGTTTCAACCCCAGGCAGCCGATTTCTTCCTAAAGGGCTACTCCATCCTCACATATTTCCCGTTGATGATGTTGTCCGCATCAGCTGTGTTTCCAGGCGCATCCAATGTTTTGACTGACTTGAGTCACAGCAAAGAGCACTTGTGTGGGGCCACATACAAGATGGAATGTGTGCAGTATATAAGTAACGAGATTCCCCTTATTACATTTTAACTTATTATTGTATCATTTACAAAATAATACAAGTTCAGGTTTAATAGTTGAACAGCACATCTCACGTGACAGCTCAGGGTCTCCGGCTGGACAGGAGATCAGCCTGTGGGGCTCCCTGGCCACGCCAAACTCAAGCTACTGATCCGCTCATTTGAGAAAAGTCCATAGAGGGTCACTGTTTTGCACGAACACCTTACAGACCCACAAAACGGTCTCTAACATGCTGACCTGGTCTGGAGAAGTGATTATTTGCAGGCTCCCTCGGTGCCGTGGTTGGAGGACCCGAGCTCTCCTCACCCTGCCTCTGCCCTCCCCGCCCAGGCTCTCGGGGAGTGAGTGGCACATCCGGACTCGCTGCCCAGGCTAACGGCCTTCCCCACAGCGCAGCCCAGCTGCAGGAAGTGGAGGGACCCTCTGTGTGTGCGAGTGAGCGGCTGGACTCCCGAGATGAGGGCAGAGACCTTGCCTAAGCCAAAGCCTCGCGCCGGGTGGGCAGGAGTGGGGAATGGCACAAGGGCAGGGATGTGCCTGAGAGGGAAGTTACCTCCGCAGGGTGACAGCACCCATGAGGGAGCGGGCTCTGAGGGAGCTTTGGCACACAGCTCTGGGTCGGAGCAGAGGTAGAGGAGCCTGCAGTGCGTGCTCTGGAACAGCCATTCATATTTCACAAGGTGACGCTCAACCCACTTCCCATTGTTCATCCTCCCAAACCCAGTAGTTTATCCTGTCATAGCGCTCTTAATAAATTAGTTCCATCGGATTAAGTCAGGTCACCTCATGTGGAAAATATAAATTTGAATTTTCTCTCTATTGTTATAAGGGCTTCTACTTTCCTAGCTTAATGCCTAACTCATATCTCTAACATTTCTCCTGAAAATTAAGATTTATATGCATGTATTTGTATTCATCACTTTAATAAATAAAAATATTAATATGTAGCAAGCAATGTAGAATGGATTTCAATCTGTGGACTTAAATAGCAGCTTGTAAAATTTGAAAAAATAATTTATTCACTTTCAAAAAACTACCGGAAATATAGATATATGTTTCTCAGGTAATATATACCTAATTAGTGTTTTAAGATATTTCTCTTAAATTTTTACAATTTTATTAGAACTTCATAGCATTGTTTTTTTTTCCTTTAGTGCCTGTAAATGCAAGATGAGCATATTTCATATCATGTAATGATATATATTAAAAGTATGCATTCAAAATCCAAAACATCTTCCAAATTATTTTTTCATCAATTAGTGATTTAGAATATATGTTTCATCCCCACAATGTAGACATGTAGCATTTATTCTTTCCAAAACAGGTAATAACTACACTCCAGGTATTAAATATGAATATAAAGAGTTCAAGCATATTTCTTACCTCATTTTTATTTGTGGTACTGAGGATTGAACCCAGGACCTTGTGCATGCTAAACAAGCACTCTGCCACTGAGCTACCACCACAGCGCCCTACCTAATTTTTATGATGAAAATTACTTTTCAGTATATTTTTCATGGCCTTCAGAACATCTTTATTCCTGAAGCTGTAGATGACAGGATTGAGGCTGGGTGTGAGGATGGTGTAGAACATCGCCAGGAACTTATCCTGGCCTGGAGTGTGGTAGGATTTGGGTCTCATGTATGTGAAAATAAAGGGGCCATAGTACATGACAACCACAACCATGTGGAAGGAACAGGTGGAAAAGGACTTTCTCCGGGCCTCTGAGGATTTGGTTTGCAAGACAGTGTGGAAAATTTTGACATAAGATACAGAGATCATAGAGAAAGGGATCAACAGGAAAATAATGCCACTTACATCAACTCCTTGTTCATAGTGTGACGTGTCCACACAGGACAACTTCAGCAAGGCAGGGATCTCACAGAAATAGTGATCGATCACCCGAGGCTCACAGAAGGGAAAGTGGAGCACATAGGCTGTGTGGACTATGGAGTTCAGGATCCCCACCAGCCAGGACCCCGTGGCCAGGAGCACACTGACACTGTCACTCATGAGCATGGCATAGCGCAGGGGGTGGCAGATGGCCACGTAGCGATCATAGGACATGGCAGCCAGGAGAAGGCACTCGCCACCTAGCAGGGTGAGGGACAGGAAGACCTGGAATCCACAGCCTGCAAAGGAGATAGTTCTGGTGCCAGACAGGAAGTTGGTGATCACTTTGAGGACGATGTTGGAAACATGCAAGATGTCCATGAAGGAGAGGTGGCTGAGCAGGAAGTACACTGGGGAGTGGAGGCAGGAGTCCCTGTGGATGAGGAAGATCAGGAGGGCGTTTTCTGTGACAGTCAGGATGAAAATGATGAACAGGGAGGAGAAGAAGACCAGGCTGGTGTGGGAGGAAGAGAACAGTCCCAGAAGAATGAAATCAGTGCTGGACGTCTGATTCTCAAGGATCATCTTGCATTTCCGTGTTTTAGCCAAAGAGAAAATGTAAAGATGAAAAAGCAGAAAAATCCCAAACTCATTCCCATGGATCTATGTAACAAAATGAGATCTTCTGAAGTATTTTACATCAACATCAAAGGTCTATTAGAGAGTTTTATGCATGCCAAGCTTACAGAATGGCCGTTTATGAGTGTCTGTCACCTGGGGATACTTAGCATGTTGAATCCGCCCTTGGCTCTACATTGAGCCTCAAGGTCATGGTGAATTCTGTGAACTTTGCTCCAGTTATCTCTCAGATGTGGCCTGTAGTGGCTCACCCTTTATACCTTTGAAAGTCTTGAACCCTGACCTTCCTGGACCTCTTAACCTGCTCCATGTCACATTTCGCCTGCCCCTTCCCACCTTCTATCATATTAAACAATAAACATGAGTTGGGTTTATTCCTATTTTCATTTTCTCCACCAGCATTTTTAGAATACCTTTGCTCTATTCACTGGTGGAAGCCAAATGCCTACCACATTACCTGGTTCATAAGAGTTATTCAGTATTATCTGTCAAATTAATGAACAGAATGAGTGGATCATACTAAGTTGGATTTTCTCTTGAGCCTGTGGTCTGTAGAGTACTACTACTACTCTCTTTGTGCTCTGGTCCTACTATAAAAAGTGAATAAAACTTTTACTTATTCATTCATCTGTTGTAGCACATATGTACACTGCATCCAAGATGTAGGTATCATAAGTTGTGTGCTGTAAACATGGATATGCATGTATGCCAGTGTGGTGAGTTTAACTCTCTAGAGAAGTTACCTGCAAGGGAAAACAACTGGGCCAAATGGAACTTATATTTTTAATGTTTTACAGAATCACGGGATTGAACTTCATAGTGGTTGTACTATTTTACATTCCCAACAACAATGTAGGAGTCCTTTAAAAGGGAAATGACCTGGAAGCATTCACATATAAGTGAGTGCAACTTGATACACAATATTAAATGAAATAAGTTGGACACATAAGCTTAAATATCTTGTGGTTTCTCTTATATGAGAAAAAATATATATGGAAAGAGAGAATGAGAGCAAACTAGAAGACAGATAAATAGGAAGTAGCAAGAAGTTAAAATAATTCTCCAAATTATCTATTCCATTAAAAAATATTTTATGTGCTAATTTATTTCATTATTTTATTAGTTTCTTTTAATTTACCAAAAAGAAAGTTTTTAAAAAATTGTATCTGTTATTTTTTGTGAGACAGAATATTATTTGTCTATGTTTTACATTCTAAAGAACTACTTTGACAATTATGATACACAGTGCATTATCTATTGATATTCTTATTTTGCTATGAAATTTTGTTCTGTCTTATTTTCTTCATAAAATAAAATTTCAAAAAGTAAATACATATTGAGAAGAAGCTTAATTTTCTACATAAATTTTTGATATCTAAACTTTTAGAAATTGAAATGTAGGAATTCTAAGTAATTGAAAATGATAAGTGGTAAAATGTTATAAAATGTTTATAGTGTTATATATATATAACGTTTATATATAAGAAATCATGTATATTTAGTCAAAATACCAATACATCTTTAAGAATATATTTCAATTTTATTTCTATCTTATAGAAATTGAACTATAATGTACTAATTTTTTTGTGGGGAATCCTGTCTTCATGTTACTAATACTTATATCGTGGTGACTTAAATGTTTACACACCCTCTGTGTCTATGATGTCTGCCTTTATACATATGTATAAATACATATTTACATGCATGCACATATTCACAGATACATGATTGCATGTAACATATACTGATCTTGAGTTCTGTCCTTCAATTTCTGCTCTGATCACCAAAATTAACAAAATATTGGACATTATTTTAGCAATGATTCACAAATTTAACTATAATAAATTTCAATTTCACTTTTTGGGAAATTAATGTGCAGGTGATGTTACTGAAATATATAAGTGCCTCATAGTTCATTGTATTTCAGGTGTGTAGACGTGATTCTTCACTGTGAAGCTCAGTCTTATTTTGTCCTGCATGTTAGCCATGGTTTGCTCTGGGTTTCAGAGTCTGGAGAGCAGCACCTGAGTGAGGTGCAGACTCATGCAAGTGCACCACATCTGGCCCACAGCTCTGGGCCGTGAGATCATGGACACAGATGTAGAGTTAGGGGCATGGTGCCTCGTGTGACCTGGTGAAAGTAAGTGAATTTCAAAATTAATGAGTATGACTGTCAACTCTAATTCAACCATATCTTACTCAAAGTTGTTAACTTTCCATTGCTCACTGGAACCGTATTATTATTCTAGTTTTTCTTTTTCCATAAATTATTTACTTTATTGCAGTCATTGTGGGTCCCTTAAGTAATGAATTCCCAATTTTTACAGAATCTCTGTCCCATAGTAAGTTTCATTAAATGCTTATTATAAGAACACTTCATTTATTCTTATGGGCACAGGTATAGCAGGAATTTAAGTATTCATTGACTCTTCCACTTCTGCTACTTTATCTGATTTTATATTTTATAGAGTTCATGTTCTCTATACAACTATATTTTTATTTTCTCTTTATTTAAACAATCTATAGTTTATTTCTTATTTCACTAGTTATCTGCTACCATCATATACATGCTTCTATGGGACATCTAAACATTCTTCAGTCATTTTTTATAACACTTTGCACAGTCACTGTGCACATAAACCCCCAGGATGGTAGAATTATTAAACTGTACCTTTGACACCAGCCAAGAGTTTCTGGACTTTGGATAAAATCTACACTGGAATCCAAAGCAGAGTGCTCTGGCAATGTAACTCTTACCATGAAGAAAAGCTGTGTCATACAACATGTGCAGGACTCTTCCCCAAGGAAAATCTGTTTCCCCATCGAGGTCCAAATATTTCCTGTTAATATTGCTAAGTAGGAAAATAGCTGAAACACACACTTCTCACCCGTATCTTTTCTATAAGATTTGAGGCTAATCACAAAACATGCTTTCCCATCATTTTGCTTTAACTTTTTCAAGAATCCTTTCAGTACATGGTTTTTGAGAAGTTCTTACAGTTTCAAAGAGTCTCTCCATGTCTTTATATTTAAGTAAAGTTTCAGAATTTGGAAGAAACCCTCAGTTCAGTCTAAAATGATACCAGCATACATTATTATCCATGTAAACTGTTTATTTGAACTCAAAATAGTGATTTTATTTTAGGGAAATGAGCCTCTGATGGTGGAGTAAGAATGATACATCAGAGAACAACAGTGTACTGTTTTCAAATGTAAATTTTGAGCCAATAGCTCACCAATTCCTAGGGTACACACCTATCATTACATCTGTCATATCACATTCCATGTGGACTACTTTAAACAAAGCCATGACTTTATTCCACACTGTTATGGCAACTCAGTGCTTGAACTCTATGTCTTGTGTTACATTGCAATGTGCCTGAAAGAATTACAATACCATCACCAAGGTTTTCAAATCAGTTGGTCACAAGGCAGTAAGTACAATACTTGAAATTTTTATGGAAATCTTACAATGTTGTAAAGCAAATTACACTGACAAGTGTAGTTCATTTTATACTAAGAAAGTTTAATTCAATGAAACTGAGTGGAACACAATCATTTTGTCTGTGTGTATACTATGTCTTTCAAATGACTGTATGTGATTAAATATTAGTGTGTGTGTAGGAGAGAGACAGACACAGAGACAGAGGCAGAGGGAGGACAGAGTGAGGGAGGTTTTCAATATTTGTGTGTGTGTGTGTTTGTGTGTGAGAGAGAGAGACGGAAACAGGGAGAAACAGAGACAGAGAGAGACAGAGGGAGGACAGAGGGAGGGAGGTTTTGCCTTAGGCTCTCCTCAGTACTTAGCAATCAGTCCCACTGGTTTGTTCAGGCAGCCGCATTGTTTCTCACTGTTCGATCCCCGAGGATGAAATGGCACAGGACCTAACGTATCTGCTCCACTTAGGGAATCAAACTGTCCCGGCTAGGACGGTGCAAATGCTGCACTAACCATCAGCCCGGCTCCGCATCAAGTCCTAGCTGTAGACAGAGCCACACCCTCACCTCCTAGTGCCCCCTTAACCACGGCCTGCACACACCCCAACTCTGCCAACCATTTGGGAGTTATGTGAGTGCTTGAAACCTTCTACAGATTTACTAACAGTTATAGCTACACAATTTCACTAGCAACATCTCCTCCTCTGCAGAAATCGTACAAGATATGCTTTTAGTAAGGGGCCCTTGTTCACTAACATCATTTCAACTGCACGTTAAATGTATTTATTTGCTCTTCTATGATCATAGTACAATTTCTTTAAAAAGTTTTAACTCTAAGACAAGTAAAAGATAAAATAGCATAAAATTGACTTTTGTAAATGACTTGCTTCAAAAATATTGGATATGAAACTCCTGGAGAATAGTACATTTACCTGAATATTTTATATTATAAAACAATGTACTTTTAGTTTGTGAATTTTCAATTAACCTTCAATATCAGTGAATTACATGGTATAATCATTATAAGTTCTGTCATAAAAATTTCAAGTATTAGACTTATTGTGATAGTCAGCAAATGACCAAAAAAAGTTACTTTTACTAGTAATGCACTCAGTGGCACTGCAGACTAATGAGAGAAGCAGAAATCATACATGGAATGGACATAATATATGTGGAATAAGGTCATTATTTTTAAGTAATTGATATGGAATTTTGTATAATAGATATGATCAGTGTCTAACCTAGGAATTGAGGAATTATTCCCTCAAAATTTATGTTTAATTAAAAATCATCTATTTCTTAGCTCTTTGATAAAAGATAAATAAGCACTTTTTATACAACACAATATACATAAAACATATTCTCTGTCTTCTCTGTACACAAAATACTGATCAGTTACAGATTATACCTGGAAAGAATTTCTACTAAGCAATGACAAAGTCTTCCATTGCACCAAGGTGACCACAGACTCTGCCTGAGGGCTGCTCTCCGATGAGACAGATGCAGCACTGTGTTCCAGGGAGAGCCCAGGCCCATACACAGTGAGCCCTGGGCACAGAGCTCCCCACTGCCTGCTGGTGCTGTTAGCCTTTCCTCAGCTGCCCTGCTTGGTTTCGTATCTCTGATTTCTCAGGACACAGAATCAAGCCTTTGTGTATCAGAGAGGAGAAGAGGGAGAGGAGGAAGGAGGAAAGGCTAGAGGAAGACTGGGAAAGGAGACTCAGGCTAGGACCGAATAAAACCAAGTAATGCAAAGTGCAACTCGGGGTGGACTGGAAATACCTTCTGCAGGATTTCAGCACGAGGGGGCCTCAGGGCTCCCTTGAACTTTCTGCTGCCCCAGCTGCTGTGACCTGGCACCCAGGGCTCCAGGAATAGCAGCACCCAGCCCCGCACAGCTGCCCTGGGCTCTCCACCCACTGTGATCTCTCCAGCAGGCTCCATGCAGGACAGACTCTGGCTGCATCCACATTGTCCTACCAGGCCCCAGAGCTTCAGAGGTC